ACAAACCAGGAAATGAATGCAGTCAACATTTCATCTTTAAATATACATTTCTGAGAGGCTGTTTTTAGCCTGTGCTCTGTGCAATCTTTATGGTTTAGCACACCAGCTAATGCTCTTTTATCAGTCTGCTAATACACATCTGGTAAGAGATACAGATGCATAAAAAGTCACACCAAACGATTCCTGAACAGTTCTTACCCTACCACTGTAACCACACTGAACTCAAAAACCACTAAAGACAGTTTTTTTATGTATAAGATATTTATTATGTAACATGTTTATCATTTCTACTTTCTCTTTATTTACCCCTCCATGCATTTTTTTATTCTCCTGTTGTTGTTTATATTATTATTATTATTATTATTATTATTATTATGCATGAGTCCATATCCTGGCAGTGCACCATAATTTTCGTTGTACATTCTTATATAATGACAATAAATGTAATTTTCTTACATGTTCCTGCACACAGAAAGAAAACTCTGCAGACTGGTTGCTTTGAGCTTTGCACTTCTGTGTATTCTTCAAGCTACACTCAACATTTCACTGCGACTGGCTTTTTGTGAGTCAACTTACATTTTCTTTGTAATGTGACCATAAATTCACCATCTGAATAATATAAGAATAGAAATGACACAGAATTACCGTTACAGTTTGAAGAATTGTAATGAATTTAACTTGAATCAGGTTCATTCATGTGGCACTCTGGTGGTGTAGTTACTTAAGGAAATGTTTGCTCTTACAGACAGTTCTGATACAACAAAAACACCAGATTGTGAGGCCATTATTAAAAACTTGACTAAAGAAGAAGACATTAAAATGAATGAATTAGGTGAGTGTAACGCTAAACAGTATTATCATTATTAACATTACTGTTTGTTATTTTCTTGAGCATAATTTTGAAGGTTCAGTTTTACTGTCCTTTGCAGCTTGCTATATCCAACAAGGATGGATATACTTCAAACACAGTTTATATTACGTTTCATCTACTAAAAACACCTGGAAAGACAGCAGAGAGGACTGTCTGCAGAGAGGGGCAGACCTGGTGATTATCAACAGCAGAGAGGAACAGGTACAGTATATAGGAGCAAAATCTGTTTCTGAGACACAAAGACAAAAGTGTAAAACTCAGATGTATTTAATGTTATTCTTTATTTCTTTTTCTGTGAATAAGAACTTCATAAGAGAGTTTAAAAGTCGGACATGGATTGGACTGACTGACGCCGAAAAAGAACAGACATGGAAATGGGTGGATGGGACTACACCTACCATCAGGTTTCACACTTTATGTTTGTTGCATGACTCTTTCATAAATTATTATTGGTAACTTGCATTTTAAGATAAAGTGTAGGTGTAAAGTTTTGTTTGTTAGATCAGTATACCATGACTTCAGTGTCAGTATAAAATTGTTAGTCTTTTTTCGTATTTTTTGTGTTCAGCTTCTGGAACACCGACGAGCCTAACAGTTATGGAGGAAATGATGAAGATTGTGGAGAAATCTATTACTATGAAAGAGAAAACTCCTGGAATGATACACCATGTGGCAGAAAAAATGTCTGGATTTGTGAAAGAAAAATGTAGAGATAATTAAACCACCAGAAAATATTAAGATGTAAAATCATGACAAATATATATAGTCATATAATATCACCATTCATTTCAGGTAGTCAGCTGATTTTAAGTGAAAGCAGAGACGCAGAAGAAAAGACAACTAACATAATACTTTGTTTATAAAGTTGGTGTGCAGTCTGTTGTCTGTATGTCATACATAGAAAAATATTTAAATACTGTTCAAATTATGTGATTATCTTCTTTTTATACATATAAAATATACCTCTGTCCCACTGTGTCTTTGTGCAACACATGTACAAAGACTCTTCATACATGTGTTGGCAGCACTGATCTACTTTAAGCAAACATAATCATGTGTGTTTGCAAATAATATCAAAAATACTTTATTCATTACATTATAACAGCAAGAACTGTTTCTCGAGTTATGTGTGACAACATGAGCCTGGTTACTGGAAAACAAGTAAATGACTTCAATAGTTTGGAAACTAAATGAGAAAAATGCAAATACCCATGTGGAAGATTGTCACAGTTACCATTTTTTAAGGGTGCCAGAAAAAAACCAAATTATTTGTAGAAAGAATGATGTGAGGTTGTCTGACTGCTTGTATTCAGTGCCATTTTGTTATTACCACATATACTTCATTAAAAGGCCTGGAATCGCTTTTTCTTATTAAAAAACCCATTGCCATTTTACATGCAACATCTGTTTATGTTTAATGATCTACAGAATTATGAAAACAGCACACATAGCATTACAACAGGTAATCATGTACAGGTACTCAGAATTCTCACAGCCAGAAGGCATGCATGTGGTTACGTTAATTAGGTTGGTGATTCTAAATGTAAATAAGTACAAGCGAGCATATTCTTAGTATGGATATAAGCCTTTATTGTTTGTTTGTTTGTTTGTTAATTTATTTCAAACATGCAAACAATATACAGGTATACAGGTACAGATTTCTGATATAATATATACTATAATATCACATCATGAATTTTTTTAAATAGAGATATTCACTTAATTTCAATATTTCCCTTGTCTTTATAGTTCGAGAATATCACATTTTTATATCTCTTTTTGAACTGTTTTATGTTTGGACATTGCTTTAATTCCATATTCAAACTGTTCCACAGTTTCACTCCATGCACAGTAACACAAAAGCTTTTTCTTGTAGTACGCACCTTCCCTGTTTTGAAGTTACAAAAAACCCCTTAAATTATAACTTCTTTCAAAAAAACATACTCTGAATATTACCTGGCAGTTCTTTATTTTTTGCTTTGAATAGAATTTGTGCTGTTTGGAATTTCACTAGATCGACAATTTTCAATATTTCAGACTGCAAAAATAGTGAGTTTGTATGTTCCCTATAACCTGCACTGTGGATGATTCGAACTGCTTTTTTTGAAGAGTAAAAAGTGAAGGCAATGTGGTTTTATAGTTGTTGCCCCAGACCTCTGCACAATAGCTTATGTATGGTGAAATCAGTGAACAGTAGAGAATATGAAGTGATGTTCTGTCTAATACCTGCTTTGCCTTGTTTAGTATTGCAATGCTTTGTGATACTTTGGAATGAATGTATCTTACGTGAGGCCTCCAGTTAAGTTTTTCATCTATTATTACCCCCAGAAATTTATTTTCACTGACTCTTTCAATATCAACACCATTTATTTGAATCTTAGCATTAGTATTTAAACTACTATTTCCAAATGACATAAGTTTAGATTTATTCAAATTTAATGATAATTTGTTTTTATCAAGCCAGAACTTCACTTTACTTATTTCATTAGTTGTATCCTCCAATAAATTCTGCACATCATCACCAGAGCAGAAGATGTTTGTATCGTCAGCAAAGAGTATTAATACTTTGGACAGTTTACACCACAAGCAATGTCCATACAAAAGGAGAATGAATGGATAAAGGGCATCTGGTATATTCATTGCTCACTCCTAAGTCACTTATAAGTACACCTCTGATGTTGACATCTGTACTGTTTGTGCCACATCATCACTTCTAGAACTGGTTGTTCTTTATCCTAAAGATAGTCTTAGGGTGTATGTTTGTCATGTCAAGTTTCAGATCTCAACATCACTGATGCTGAAATCTGCAACTTGACCATTACTTGCACCATTATTTAAACACTGAATTGTACAAAAGTGTTCAAAAAGTGATAACTGTAATCATAAGTCAAATAAACTGCCATTGTTACATCCTTTTGAGTGTAGTATTGTTGGCAACAGTAGGAAGGAAAAATTCCCTTTTAATGGGAAAAAACCTCCAACAGTACCAGGCTCAGGGAGGGGCGACCATCTGCCGCCACCAGTTGGGGTGAGGGGAGAAAAACAGGACAAAATACTTGCTCTGAAAGAGAGCCAGAGATTAATAATAACTAATAATTAAATACAGAGAAGTGTATAAACACATAGTGGGTTGGAAAAGTGACTAAAGAAGAAACACTAAATGCTGGATTTAACAGGGAGCCAATGAAGGGAAGCCAACACATGATAAATATGCTCTCTCTTTCTATTCCCGGTCAGTACTCTTGCTGCAGCAGTTTGGATCAAATCAAACACTTTTCAGGAAGTTTATAGGACATCCTGATAATGATGAATTACAGTAGTCAAACATAGAAGAAGTAAATGCATGAACCAGTTTTTCAGCGTCACTCTGAGACAGGATGTTTCTAATTTTATAGATATTATGCAAATGGAAGAAAGAGCCCTACATATTTGTTGAATGACTTCAAAATTCCTTACAGTGTTAATGGGAAAAACAAAGATACATTTAAATATAAAGATTGTTTTTAATACTTGGATGAAGAAACTTTGCAGCCATGAGTAAATAAACAACCCGGTTATCGTCTACGGCTTCCAACGGCTATGAAGGTCCATCCCGTTTTTCACATGAAGGAGATTGTCCTGGCCTGGCTTTTTATAGCAGATAACCTTAAAAATATTCTGCGATATTCTGCAATTTTGCATAGTTTTAAGAAGTTTAAATGTCTTCAGTATTGAACAGCAGAAATTAGTCTTTCTTGTCCGAGGTCATTAAGTAAAAAAAGAAAAAAAAAGACAGCGGCCAACAGTGCTGTAAACAACGGTAGACTGGTGGATAATAAGCGAATGGATAATGCAGAAAACAGATTTGAGATGGGAAACTGTTCTTGAAGTACACAGAGAGAGAGCAAGAGAGAGAGCTGTGCATGAAGGGTGATTTTTATTGTGGTGGAGGCAAAACAGCAAAAGTAAGAGGGAATTCATGACGATGTTTATCAAATGTGAAGAGTAGTTTGCTGCTGATTCAGTGAATTTTGGTTGGAGAGAGACAAAACCTGCAGCTCAGAATCTAGCGTAAAAGAACACATAAACACAGCACGGACCCAACGCATCAGAATCAGTGAGCTGTCGGCTTTCAGCCCCAAAGGCCATGTACGTGCCGCCGGGTGAGAAAGCCGAGAAAGAGAAAGCTGATTCTGATGCATTGGGTCCGCGTGTGTTTACGTCTTTGTGTGGAATCCATGTACCTGCTCTCATTTACTGTTTGGTGGTTGTTGAAAAAGTTTTCTGAGCTTTAACCTGAGATTATGGCGTTTCTGGCAAAACACATTTATATTTAAAAGTCGATTCAGGATTTAAATTATCAATATCGCTTTATTCAAGCTACTCACCTCTTTCCCTCCGCCCGCCCTGCACTTTCAAATGTACACACGGACTACATGAATATCTAGACCACGACCACTCAGAGAGCTCCCGCCTCTGACTGTCTCTGATTGGTTTAGACCACAACAGGGGCTCAATGTGTGTCTGCTGTTGACCACACGGAAACTTTCAGAGTTGCAGAGTATTTTTTATTTATTTATTTTTTGTTACTTGAACAGTTGGTCGCACCGGTGCGAAATAAGATTTTTTTTAGTCGCACCATTGAAAAATTTGGTCGCACTCTAGAGCCCTGTATATATATTTTTTATATATAGCGCAAAATCACAACAACGGTCGCCTATTGTACAGTAGATTGTACAATAATAGATACAGAGAAAAACCCAACAAGCACTTTGGCGACAGTCGGAAGGAAAAACTCCCTTTTAACAGGAAGAAACCTCCGACAGAACCAGGCTCAGGGATGGGCGGCCATCTGCTGCGACCGGTTAGGGTTAGAGAAGGAAAACAGTATGAGGTGCGTGAGGGACATTATTACTGAAACACTCTCACACACACTACTGAAA